AAAGACTCTGTCCAGAATGTAATAAATATTGAAGAATTAATTAATATCAATATCATATCTGGTACTTCAAGTAAAATCTTGATATTAATTTTAAGTAATTGTTAAAATTTTTTCTAATATACTAATTATTTTTTATTTTATATAATTGAATAAATTAATTATTGAAGCTCAAAGTGTAAGACGTTATCTTAGAAAAGATTTATCCAAAATAATTGAATGTAATGCAAAATAGAGTTGCAGTTAATAATACTTATTTATTACATTATCTTCAATATACTTTTTGTGATTATCAAGAAATACATTCTAACACTTGCTCTAAATGTGAAAATTTGTTTATTATTTCGAAAATTTGAAAGAGTAATTACCTATAAATAAGCATAAAACTTACCATCATTTTTTTTTTCATTGTAGAGTTATGTTCTATTCTACAATTTGTTTTTGAAGCTGAGAGATGTTATTAATATCCATTAAATAAACAAGATAACTAGCATTAGCACGAAGTTCTTCAAATTGGTCATCTAGTTTTTAGTAGATTTTTCAGTATTTTTAACTTTTGCTTTTTCGAGATAATATGAAGTCTTTTCTTGAACAATGTCTTGGAAATTATTTGTAGTAATGTTCTTAGAGATTAAGTTAGCTGCTGTTTGAAAATTTGGAAAGGGTTTGTTAAATGAAATGGGATTTTTTTATTTTTTTTTACCCATGATATTAAAGTGAAAAAGAAAGATGAAAAAATATAAAAAAAATTTTAAAAAAAAAATAAAAAAAATATTTCACGGAATCACTATGGAATATCGGGATTTTCACGGCGCAGCCGTGAAAATCATTGAAATAATTATTACTTATCACGTGAATAACTTCGCTGCTTTAAATGGAATTGATGACGGAGCCAAAAATTTCTAAAAAAACAAAATTTCCAAATCAAACTGTCAACCAACGTGTTTTGTTTATTAAAAAAGTCATTCTCATCAGAAGTATTGCTCAACTAAAAGGTTGTTGGTTTCGTACATTAGAAATTTAACCACAAATTCAGCGGAGTCACTTTACGTGTCAATTTGGATAAGAAGGGTTTGTTGGAAATAAATTGGTTAGAATGTGATCAAATTTACCCTGCGGTCCAATAATCGATTCGGGTTTCACGATCGTGTAAGATGATTCCAGAATAATAGATTCGAATTAATGACCCTGTAAAGAATTTTATCCTTTACACATATTTTTAAATTATCCCTATAATTTTGAAATTTTTTATTTGTAAAGCTTTTACTTGTACCCATAAAATTAGTATTGCAGTCAATTAAAAAAAATGATTTACCAAGACAAATAAAACAAAATCATAAAGATACGAAAATTCGTGATAATAAGAATTCTGTTAAAAATATTTGACTCTCTCTGACAATCTTAAACCATATTAATTAAATAAATATTTACTTAAGTAAGGAGAATGAATTTTCCGCAAATTCTTAAATTTTTTTTAAAAAAAAAGTTACAGCACCCAGTATTCCCACGTTGTCCCCAACCGTAGTACTGACTGGGCCATCAGTGGCTTAACTTCGGAGATCGGACGGGTTCCGGTGCTTTTCACTGTGTATGGCCGTAACTGTTTGAATTCAGAAAACATTAATACTTATAATTATGTTATTTTAAAAAAAGAAAAAACCGAAAATACTTCGCAAATTAATGGTAATTTTTTTTTGCAACGTTTCGTAAAAAGAAAAATAGGTGTAAAAATAAATTCCATTGTTTAAAATTTTCTTGTCCGAATGATCGTCAACGTTAAAATTCAATTTGCAGACGTTTTCCAAAATTATGATACTGAAATTAAAAAAATGTTACAGATCATTACAGTTTGTAATTCAAAAAAAATAAAAAACAAAAATCATTTTAAATTTCATTGTATGACAAATACATTCAGAAAGAACGGAAAACGTATGAAAATTTTTTGATTTTAGTTGCAATTATAACCGTCACCTTATAAAATTTGAATATATAAGTGTATTAGATGATTACTTTTATGCTAAACATGTATAAAATAATTAAAAACCCAAAAATTTCTTATAAGAAGCTAAGCTTCCCAAAGTTTGTCAACATACTCAAATAATTTTTTTTGGGGAATAAAATTAAAAGGAACCATTCATCTAGTTCATATTGGATCACCTTTTTTTTTCTTAACCATTTCTGGCATCGTTGTTTCTTAATTCTGTATTTTAGATTTTAAAGATTATTACTTTGTACACTATAGTCAAATCTCTCTAAATTCATCCTCTATATGCATCCCATTTGGACCATAGTGAAAATGTGCGTTTAATGTTGGTGTGCATTTAAAGAGAAATTTACTATATGTTCTCTATATATGCTTTGTACTGAACGAGAGCGTGCATTTAGAGATATTACATAGTTTGTGCCTTTAGGGTGGGTGCATTTAGAGAATTTGACCTGCTAGCTTTATATTCTAGCAACTTTATATTCATTGAACTTAATTTGTATTTATTAGCTGCTGATTTTTTTAAAATACTGTATCAGTTCGATTAAATTCAAAAGGAATTGAATATTTTAAATGGAGATATATTATTAGAAAATATTATCTGCTGAAATTACCTGATGGAATTGCGATAAGTTTCAGCTTACAGAGAAAAGTTTATCCGAAGTTGACGAATTTCATAAATCGAACAAAGTGGAACAAGTGGACAATGATGACATAATAGCAATAGCTTTTATTATTATTATAATTATTATCTTTTATATAATTAATATAACTGTATCTTTATTATTTTATTATTTTTATTAACGAAAGCAAAGTTAATATCGATAGAGTATAAAATGTATATTATATAATGGGATCTGAAAAAAGCAAGTTTTAATACAAATAAATGTATCTTTATTATCTTTTGCATTACAAAACGAACTCCCTTATAAGTGTGTCTTGCTGTGGATTTGAGTCATAAAGCAATGATTTTAATGTCCTCGAATTGCCAAAACATAACGTTAAATTTTTCAAATGGTAAATAATTTTCTTGTTATTTTAAATATAAAGCGAATAATCACCTTTTTATTTCAATCAACCGATTTTATGAAACTTAATAGATAAAATAAAAGTTAAATTTAAAGAAGAGTCAAGATCTACTAAACATGTATATAACGTTTCTTATAATATCGATATTAACAATCCACCCATAACCGGGTTATCGACTCCCTTTTGACATATTCCGTCAAAAAGTAATAATAATGAACATTTGGAAATTTACTGTTACACAAAATTCAGTAATTTTCAATAACAAACCAAACTTGTTATCCCAAATTATTCGGCGCTGCATTACACACTTTTATTTTACCTTTTCATAAAAAAAAAAAATAATAATTTACGAAATTTGAAGCAAAAAGAGATATTTGACATCTAAACTCATGTTTGAATCTGAACCGGGAAACCGGATATATATCCGAAGTAATAAAAAATCTTGTGCCACATGCACCTGTATTCGTGAGCAAGGGCACCGATAACATTTTATTTCTTCTCCAACTATTTGCTTTAACGTGTCATAAAATTTTTCATGAAAATAATCTCCTTTTGGTTGATTTTCTTGTAGAATCAAAACCACTATGTTTGACGACAAATTGAATTATATAATATCACAAGGAAGAAAGTTTATATAAAGTAGCTTATAGACTTAATGATTTGACTTTATTCTAATTGTTGATCAACACATGACCGACGACCTCGAAATAGTTTCTATAAAAACGTAAAAAAAAAAAAAAATTCAATTAAATGACCGCAGTTGTCATTTCTGAAATTCCTACATTATATCACTTTATTGCATTGTTCGAGAAATAGGAAATCCTTGTAGGAATAATAATGTTTCCGATATCAAGGAGTTCAAGAACGCAAATTCGAATGTCTTTGAAACAATCGAGACTTTTGAAATCAACCTATGTACGCTTGAGGATAACGACAATGAAATTTTAATGGTTGAAACAAAAAAGATTGATAGTACTATAACAACACCGCCAGAAAATCGAATTCATATTATTGTAGAAATACCCGTTAATACTGGTGATTAAGTCATATTAATTTGATCAACGCGCAAATGACTCTACTTTTGATCATTTTTTGATTCTTGCTTCTTACTCTCGCTCTTCTATTAGGTCAAGCCATCAAGAGACAAATTTGTAATTAAAGTTTGCTGTTAAATAAGATTGCGGAGAAAAATCCAATTCATTTTGAAAGAGTCGAAACCCTTTCGATTTCATGGGTTTCGACGTCGGGATTTCAATGTATTTTGACGGGTTTCGATTTCGATCCCTGTCGAAACCTCCAGGCTTGTCTAACAACATTACTATTAAAATTTTTAACGGATCAGAATATTTGCTGTAGAACACTAATATCCTACCGTGTTTTGGTAATATACCTGGGTAGAAAGAACGAGAAAGTTCGGAGGAAGTGCTAAAAGAAATGCTGAAAGAAGTGCTGGAAAAAGGTCTGGAAGAAGTGTTTGAGGAAGAGCTGCTAATGTCTTCTAATGTGATTATACATCCTAAAAAAAACCGCTTGCGGTGATTAACGACATAAACTCTATGCAAGGAAAGCTTACGAGGATCTTTATCACATAGTTACTAGCAAGGATTGTAATTCTAGATTTCTCACAACTGGCATTATATTGATACAGTATTTAATAAATTACACAAATATAATATTCAAAAAAAAACAAAAATTTGAGAATTAATACAGTTACGAAAAGCTATTACTCAACGAATATTAAATAACGTAAGACGAATATTTAAATGTATATAGATTCAGATATATAGAACATTTTTACTTAATGCGCAGTAAGCATTTTACTTTAACCAAAGTGATCAAATTATCATGTGACACTTCACGTGTCGGTAAATCGAGAATCCTGATTTATGAATCCGACTGTTGTAATTATCCTGATATCACTGCACTATTATTTTTAAGCCAGATGAAGCGAGTAATTTATTATACTGTTTTGAGGATACCAAACTCCATGTCGGAAGCTTTAGAGGATTTTCGGATCAACTCTCTAATAATTCCAGCACACTTTCACTCCGCATCAAAGCAAGAACGGTGTTAGCGCTTTTCTCAAAGTGCTTAATATGTTGGATTCAGCAGTCTCCTTATTCATCGATGGCCTGAAATTTCTATAGAAAACATCTTTAACGATGTTGAGGATTATGAGGGACTGTAAAGCTAAATATATTATTTTTACTTTGCCAATTATCTGGAAATGTATTAAATATCAATCTTTTTATTTTATTCTTTATTATTATTTAAATCAAATTTGACGCACAAATTATTTTTGATAGGTCACCCTATTTTTAATAAAGTTCGTTCAAGTGGTGTAATAAAATTATTCTTTTAATGAAGGTTTAAAATAATTGTAAGATTTGGTAACGATATTGTTTTGATGAACCATGATTTAGTTTCGATACGATATAAATTTACAACTTGTAAGGATCTGTGACAAACTAATTTCCATTGGAAGCGTCCTAAAAACCTTAACTGGTTGACTAACCGGGACCGTGAATAATGTTCTGGATAAGGAAAAAAATTTCGGATGCCTATAACAGTAACTGACAAACAAATGAAATTTGTAAATACAACATATTTAAAAAGCCAAAATTTTGAAACATCTTAACATTAAAATGCTTGCATTATCATTATTTTTGCTACTAACATGTTAGAAATAAAATACCAAAAGGACTTGAAGGTATTCCATGCATTCTACGTAGCCTATAGTATGGGCATTTTTTCGACAAAAGCATCATGACGAAACAAAATCTTTAGTTATGATATTTACTTGGTTTCATACATACATTCTTAATTTGATTTATTATTGAATCATTGATTTCAAAATTTTATTTCTTAGATTAAAATTTGGTCAAACATCCGTAAATATCAATAATCCTTTGTACCTATTTCTTAATAAAACTCGGTGAGCATAAAAAATGCAAATCTAATTCTAATTCTACCAATTAAAATTAAATTCTTTTATAGAGGATGATGATCCTCCAAAACTTAAAATGAGTTTCATAGGAGCTTTGATCGAGTTTTTCGGTTATGGTTTAATCTTTGCGAATTATGACGGACGTATATACTTAACGTCATAAAATATTTTTATTTTATACTATTTTTACATTTTCTTTAATTTAAAATTTATTCTTTATTCTTTCTCGTTTTATATCATTATTTTATTATGACAAAATCCAAAATTGTTATCAATAAATCTCTTAAAACATTTTTTAATATAAATAAAACTTAAAAATTATATTTATTTAGCCAATTTAAATATGAAGAACCTAGTGATAGTAATATATAAGTCATTCTTTCCGTTGTATTTCAATTGATAATTCAACTAATAACTTGGTTATACAGTTAGTATGAATTAAAATGGACAATTTTATTTAATTAATCAATTTAATCAACCCAATTCGCTACGCCTAAAACGAAAGGTTTATTTCGCTTTTCCTATAACCAAGGTTCTTTATTTAAAGAATAAGATTGACGAGTCTTGAGAAGAGTCATCCGAAACCTTGAAATAATATATATCTTTACACTTTCAAAACTTTATCGTGTTTCCATATATACTCATTAATAAACAACTACACAAAGAATCGTATTATCTAAATTGCTGAATACATCTTTCTTAGGACGGGTCTTAGATTAAGTTGGTGGTTTAAAATCGGGTTAACAACGGCCATAAAACTAATTATGTTTTAACAACATCCGAGTAACTATAAATTATATTCATATTAAAGAAACTCTTAAATGATGAAGGGTTTCATGTAAAGAATTATTTATTTTTCTTATTTTTTTTTCTAGTGAAATTCGTCATCAAAAAAAATTGCAAATAATAAATTAATAGTCTGCATCAATAAATAAAATTTTTTTTTTTTTTTTGAATATTTTTACATTGAATATAACTTCGCCAATAATTACGCATGTAAATCGCTTTCGATATTTGCAATTAGTCCTTTGAAGATCATTTGCCAGGCTGACCAAGCTAGCCTAACAATTTTTTTTTTTTTTTATAAATACAAGCCGGAAATCCTTAAACAGCTAAACATTCCACGCTCGCCCTTATTATATTTTGCATAAATTTGCCTTGAAAACCTTCCTTTAACCCTTCGCGATATTTTCGCTTTCGCCGTTTTAACATTTTAAATTTCGTATTTTTAATTTCCAGATTTTCTTATTATTCTTAATATTCAATTTTTCGTCATTACGCAGTTTTAATTAATTAGAGTTCATTGATTGGCATTTATTTAGTTTAATAAATTGACATTGCGAAAGTGTAGAGCGCCTACGTCGAGGCAACACTGATATTATTAAATAAATTTATCGTCAAGATTACTTCATTTTTACTCATTAATTACTCAATACAATCCTTCTGCTACATTATCAAAGTGTTAATAAATACATAATGAATACTACAATATTTACAATTTCAATATTTTGACAATCAGGGAAGGATAAAAAGTAAGTATAAGTACTTAATAAATTTGAATCAAATTTATAATATATGCATTTGATAAAATAAGAAATTTTCGTTAAGTTCATGCCTGCATTCGCATAAGGTTGCCAAACACGCCCTTATTCGACAAAAGTATTAATTACTTACAAGTCCTCATGCAATGTCGGATTTGATAAAATTTTTTTTTCATTAGAGGAACTTTATTTTTTTAACGTCAAATCGAAAATTCATAAGGTCTCGACTTTACTTATTAAAATTGGTTTTGTTCCGCAATAGGATTCCATCGATTCAGAACTTGTTTCTGAAAGTCTTCGCAAACGTATTTTCTTAATTAGCGCGCCTTTTTTTTTCCGGATTCTCATGTTACTTTAAGAATCGAGATATTAATCTTAGAGTAAGGTTTTCGGACACAATGATAAAGCCATTATCTGATTTTTTATAATACATTTAGGAAAACTTCTTCAATAGAGTCACGAGCTAGGCATAATTTACTTTGATTTCCAGGATTTCAGATTTATCAATTTAATAATATAAGATTTTAGTAAAGCAGAATGCTTTTATTTAAATTATTCAAAAATTATAGTATGAGTATTATGTTAAATTAAAGAAATTTGACGTCATTTTCGGGAATAATAATGAAGATTAATATACATTTTTTTTTTTTTTTAGGATTGATGAAGCAATAAAAATGTAAAATTATTTAGGAGATATGCTTCATATCTATTTATTATGTAGTTGTTCGTTAGTTACATAACAATGAGTTCAATAAAACAATACTAAATATAGCGAGAAATTTTCATACTTCTCATGCTGATTATTTGTACCTGTATTAAAAAATTTTATAGAAGAGAAATTAAGTATTAGTGAAATAAAAGACGAAATATTTGTAAAAGTAACTCATATTTCATGTTATAGGAAAGGATTAATGTAGGGTGGTGAATTAAAGCTTCGTCCGAGAAAATTTGCAATTGATCTCAATATGGGTTGATTGCTAGGAAAATCGGGTAGGGAATTTTTTAATTAAAATGCATTAAGCTCTGCTCTTAATTTTAGTCAAAAATTTTCTCGGAACCTGATTTTCTTAGAAATCTTCCCATATTTACATAAATAATTCTACTCAATTAATTCATCAAGATAATTGTTGTATATTGAATGTTAGATTTTCTCAGGATTTATTGAAACACATTATTTGATTAGTTCACTTTTTAATAAATCTTAGAAATTTATTAATATTTATTAAGTAATTTGAATATGCAAAAAGCTGGTCGTGATTGTTTGGAAGATCTGAAATGCCTTTTCTTCAGGTTAGAGATCTCCATAAAAGTTTTACGGTGTGAAAAAATTCTATTTGTCACCTTATATGTCACGCGGATAATTTTGGCCAAGTTCGGTGTTTTGTCGCTTATTAGCCACGTGATCGACTCCGATTCGTTTGAAATTCGCATGTTAACCTTTTTCACCCACGTGATTTTCTAGTCGGGATTCAGAAATTAGTGGCTGTCTGGATACTATCTAACCACGATTTCATGAGTTTTAGCAAAGTATACCAATGAAAAATGATATTTTTCCTTCAAAGAATATGAAACTTGGGAGTATATTACAGAACAATGGTTTAGGGCATTCGGGATTTATAACTCATTTAAACTTATGAATGTGATTTAATTATTTTTTAATTTGATGATATAATTATTAAATGTAGAATTCGTTCAGAATTTCATAAGTCACGTGATCGCCAAAAATTTTGCAGATCGTTTGAAATTAACTGTAACAAACATAAAATGTTCACCACTAAAAAGTTTTGATTTTAATTGCATGCAGCTAAATCTGACAATAAAAGACCGATCAATGAATGAATTCTATTCTTTGTTATACTTATATTTTTTAAAAAAATCAATATGTCAAATGAATACCTTACATGGATAGAAAAATCAATTGCCAAAGAATATTTGAATTATTATAAATATTCAGACTTCAAAAAGATACAACCAATAGGAAGTGGTAATTTTGGAAACGTTTATCGTATTAATTGGAAAGATACTGATTCCATATTTGCTTTGAAGTTGTTAGATGATAATAAGTTAATGGTTAAAGAGATTGTCAATGAGGTATTGAAATATGATATGTAATTACCTTAAAATATCAG